GGTTGGGACAGTAAATACACGCCAAAGTGCAGGGTGTGTTGCCGAGACTACCCCTTAAAAATATAAACCTGCCTCTATCATCTACTTTCATTTCGGAAAGCACAAAAGGGGTGCCCCTGCGGCCACCAATGGCAACTCCCCTAGCTCGATTAGAGTCCGATAGACTACAGAGTCCGCTGCCCTATGTCCAGGAACAAAAGATGCGTATCGCATCAACCGCTTAGGGATAACTGATGCCGTATGAAGCAAAAACCGTAAAACTTAAAAATCCAGAACGAATTGGATAAAAGTAGGAATAAAGTAAACATTCAAAATTCCGCATTATAACTGTAGCCATGAGAGCGTCCACCCTACGCTCAGGGCGGGTGCTCCAGCAACCACCAGAACTGCGCAGTAAAGCGGATCAAATTATATTGATAGGTTAGTGAAAGTGCAGTTGAACAATCTCACCCATGTCCTGCTGGCGCTTCCTGTCTCCCAGATCGCCTCTTCTTTGGGGGAGTGCGCCAATTGCTCACTGCTTCGGTGGGGGGATTCGGTACCGTGCTGACCCATCCGGGGTAAATCAGGTACCGGGATGTTTAGATCCGAGCAGAAGGCATCCAAATCTTCTGGGAAGCGCCCGATCTGCCCCCCTTGCGTGCAATCAGGCTGGCTGGAAAACCCCAGCGGTAGACCATCTCTGCCTGTCGGAGGCGATCCAGTAGGGGGCGTAAAGCTCTTCTCTCCAGCGTCTCGCGGGCCAGGTCCGGGTAGATGTGGAGTTGTGCCCCGTCAAAATCAATGGCCGACATCCCTCTCCGTTTTCTAGACACTTCCTCCTTGTCTCCATAGTTGTGAAACCGACATATAACATCCCGGGGTGCCGCGTCAGAGATTACGCGGGCGTAGGGCCCTGTGCGCCCTATCAAAGCGTATAGGGGTAGATACTGGCCTCCCCAACACGGTGTTGAATATGCCTTGAAGGGAGGCCACTAGATCAGAGTCCGTCGTAGCCTCTGGCAGGCCCCGTATCCTCAAGTTATTTCGGCGGTTGCGGTTCTCTTGGTCCTCCACTTTATACATGAGGTTACGCTGCGACAACACCAACCATGACGGTGTGCTTCCCGGAGATCCCTTATGGCCATCTCATGGTGTAACGATTCCATCTCCCCTCAGCCGGGAACGAGCTCCGTCCGCGCTACGGCGCAGGCGCGCCGCGAGGCTCCACCCACTCTTAGACGGGGTCCGTTGCCGCTACTGCACAGGCGTGCCGCGAGACTCCGCCCACCGCACTCGAGCCATCGGCATAAAGCCGCGGTCAGCGGTTTGATCGGCGTCCCACTATCGTTGTAAGCAGGACGCTGACCAAACCAGCCTCCACTTGCTCCCCTGCAGAAACCAGCTTACTCGAGGATCCGACCTAGCTTCATCCTCCCACACCAGGGAGTGCCACAGAACCGCAAGTATTCCAGCCATAGCTGCTGGCTAAAACCTATGGAACTGCATTGACACTAGCTCAGCTAAACTGTTCATTCATCCTCTTGAACTGCATTTATATTACTTGAGCTGTACTGTTCTTGCATACTATTTGAACTGAATTGATACCAATTGAGCTATACTGTTCATTCATCATATCGAACTGCACTGAGACAAATTGAGATAAACTGTTCATTCATCCTAGTGAACTGCAATTATACCAATTGAGCTATACTGTTCATAGATCCTACTGAACTGCATTGATATTACTTGAGCTGTACTGTTCTTGCATCCTATTGAACTGCATTTCATACTAATTGAGCGATACTGTTATACAGCCTGTTGAACTGCATCGAAACTAATTGAGCTTAACTGTTCGTATACTCCCTTGAACTCCGTATTGTCTTCATTACTTGTTGAACCCTCCAGACCTAGCCTGTTGTTGCTATACAGGGTTAAATTGTTGCTATACGGGGCATGATGTGAAGCAGCTCCCTCCTCGCCTTACTCCACACACTGGGCTCCAGAGGTAGAGCTGCACCCTGATACCCGTCCTCTTCGATAGAGGCCTAATCCGCAGCTGCGGTCCATAAGCCAGACCCCTAGGGGCGAGTGTTACACATGGTCATCTATCCGGGTCTCCGCATCTTCCACCCTCGTCAGGATATGTGAGAGATCCGACCTCATGTTGGATAAATCCTGTTTGAGGGACGATTCTAGCACCTGGAACATGTGGGCTAGGTCCGCTTTCGTGGGGAGGTCTTTCATTGCCTCCGACACTTGCAGATCCTCCTGTAGTGGCATTGGAGAAGGGGGTTCCGACTCCCTCATGGAGCCCGTGAAATCTGGAGACCTCGGCGTGCCCGGAGGTGTCTGTTCTTCCGTTTGGGCCGCAGGCGCTTGCCGCGTGGACGGCTGCGAGGAGGAGGCCTGGGAGGGTCTTGTGTCTGCGATGAGATACCTTTTCAAGGTGCCCAAGACTTTTTCTCCCCATGATACAGCTCAACAGGGTGGAGATGCGAGGGATGATTTAGCGGATAAAACGGCAATTTTTCGAGGGCTATATCGGGAGCTCTGCTCAAGTGCGACCGCTCAGCGCCATGCGTAAGCCACGCCCCCTGCATTTGTGTATTTTATTTTAAATTAAGGTTCTTATTTTTATCCGAAAAAATTATCGGCTAACTAATCGATTTATGAAATTAATAATTTGTTGCAGCCCTAATGGTATTCATGTTCCCGCTCTCCTAGCTATAGTGGATGGTGTTCCTCTAGTCTGGTGAGATGGAGGTGAGCAGAATCGAGAACAAATGTTGACGCGATTCACCCCTCCTACTCCGGGGGTTTCGTCAAGATGTAATTAGAGGATGAGCTCCCACCCACTTAAAAAGCATTGTGGGACCCTCTATTATATATTTAACCCTTAATTTCTTTAGTTCACGATTTGTGTGCTATTTTTTACACACCATTAAAAGTGTTTGCAATTAACAAAACCTTATCTTAGCAGAGGTAGATAATGGTTTGTCAATATGTTCAACAATACCAGTTTCTAGACCTACCATTTTGGCTGTCCTAAATACCCTAAATGTTCAAGGTTCTGGTATATGTGCTAGCCCTGGTATGCGCTTTGGCCAAACCCGTAGTCTGATATATGTACAATCTCTTCTTGAGGTATTAGTCAGCCCAGTTCCTGACCAACAATGTGTTTTGGACGATCCGGACCTTCAAAAGGTTCAGTTGGATCCTGTACCGTCTGGAAAAAAATGATGAAACCATCTCATAGCTTGGAGTATCTGTGCCTCATCGCGTGTAAAGCTCAAGCCAAACGTAAAGAACCTAAAGAACTACTCCTAACTATCCGATCCCAGATTCTGGCCTTACAAACCATAAGCCACTCAACTCTTGGTTTTGCATTAGATTTTTTATGATTATGATGCCCCATTAGAGGCTGCTTTCAGGTTACCTATGGTCTGGTGGCTCAGCAGTCAAATTGGAATTGGGGTAATCCTTCCTCTCTGTCTTAGAAGATTCTCATGATCAATGCCAGCCTGACAGGCTGAGGAGGAGTCCCCCGACACCATGTCAGTGCAAGGGACTTGAACATTAGAGGACTTCCATCTCCCATTGAATATCTTGGAACTTTGGACAACGGCACGACTTGGCATTCATCAACCATAAGGGAGGAACAAAAGTCTTGCTGCGGCAAGAGGGGTTGCAAGCTAACCTGGACAGAACTCCACATTTCAACACTGTCCACCTTTCACATGCCAGGCGTAGACAGTTGGCAGGCAGAGTACTTCAGCCAGCGGCACCTGGACCAGGGGTGCCTGGTCCGTACATCTGGAGGTGTTCTAGAACCTTTTTCACAGGTGGGAGATGCTTGATGTGGATTTCCTGGCCTCCATTTTTTGTTCTGCCAATCTGCAAAAAGCTGTGTTCAGAAGCAGAGATCTCTGGCAGTAGTGCTGGATGCTCTTGTGGCTCAGTGGGCTCTCTACAGCTTGGTCTGTGGCTTCCCTCCCATTAAACTCCTTCCTTGTCTACGCTGCAGGATCGAGCTAGTGGGCATTCCAGTGCTTGTCAAAGTTCTGAACTGACCCAGGTGATTCCTGGAGTTTTTATCAGTTAATTTCAAGTATGTATATTGGGAAAACTTTTTTATATTGATATGATTTATTATTTAATAACTATATTAGGGATGCACCGATACCGGTATTTCAGTATCGAGTACAAGTACCGATATTTTTTTTTTTTGGTACCCGCCAATACCGAAAGTCCCATTAAGGAAGCCAGTACGAGTACTCTCCCAAATACTCGGCATCGACACTGATACTATTATCGGTATCGGTGCATCCCTAAACTATGTAATTGAATGCCTTTTTAGTATTTAATCGCTTAGATACCTTAAAAACCAAAAACTTGCCCCAGCTTTAAAACACCATATAAAAAAACTTGAAATTTCCTCTGTTAATAATTGGTTTAACTTTTCTTTGAGACATTGTCTAGAGACTACGGTATGGGACATGGCATAATGCCTTAAAATTTTCAGACGTGTTACTTAGCTAAACATAATTATCTTGTGTAGTAACAATGGTGTCCCTTTCACACCTATGCAACACACGGTAAATTGCACTTCTTTACCAGACTTTAGCGTAATACATGTCACTCTGTGCATTGTAGTGCCATACATTCCACACAAGTACAATAGGTGCTGACTGACCTGTGCCCAGAGTTAGGATTTAAATAGGGAAATTATTGTAGTTAGAGCTATTGTTAAACACTGCATAATAAAGCTGCTTAATTTGGTTTGGGCATCTAGGCTTCAGTGACCTCTGTTCATAAAAGGTTTATACAGCATGTTGAGTATATATTACCATTAACAAATTGTGATCATATATTCTGTTATAAGTTTGTAGAATGTTATTTTTGGAAGGTGGGTATGTGCTATAAGCTAGCTTTTCATATTAAGCAATACAAATATTTACTTTTGCTGTAAACCATTTTTGTGTAATTTCTGTTTCATAACTATGTTTTTGTTCTTAAAGTTTATTCTCCAGACATGCCTTCCCGGCTTCCAATACAGGACATCTGTGCTGGGTTAATTACAAGTATTGGCACGGCAATTCGATACTGGTTTCACTATACATTAGTGGCCTTTGCCTGGCTGGGAGTTGTACCGCTTACAGCATGTAAGTATGACCTGTAACAACAAATTTGTTATTCGCTCGTTAGGTACATTACTTTTTTGTTTTTCTGGGGTAAGAGTTGTAGCTGTCTAATAGTTGTATACACAGGGAAGTTTAGAGAAAGGTGTCGAACAGTTTCAAAAGCTAGCTTTTTTTTTTTTTGTCTATCGCTGAGTGTACTAGTAATGCTTTCCGCCAACGTTTTTATATTTTAATATATTTATTTTCTTTGTAGAAGATTTAGTGGGATTAATAAAGTCAAATATAAATATAAGATAAATGAAATAAGTGTTTCATGTTTACTATGCCAAACTGTCTGAAGTAAAATGGCAAGCAAAAGGTTTAGGTGGCTACAGTTGGATGCAGTTAAACTTGGAACTGGCTGTTTTTTAGTTTAGCCCGTCACCTTTTTTTCTTTTTGGAAGTTTTGGGGTGTTTTTTTATCCCCATACTGGGACACTTCTAACTGGGGGTGCTCTGACAATTGGTTGGGAGTTTGGGTCTAAGCTTCTAGAGGGTGTTATAGGTTGTTGTTGTTCGTCTACTAGAAAGCAAGGGAGTTCTTAATGTTGGTTATGGGATTGTTTGTTACAGGGAGGGTGTGCCAGTTTCGTGCTCTGGGAGGCGGAGCCTAAGGTGTCCATTCAGCTATCCTGGGCCACACATGTACAATTGGTTTTGCTATGGGGGATCGTATTGATATTATGTCATGGAATGTGAGGGGTCTCAATGACAAGTTCAAGCGTTCTATGATTCTGAATGATCTGAGACTGCCATGCCCGCATATTATTCTCCTACAAGAAACTCATCTGACGGGTAAACCTTTGTATGGAACTCCAGGACTCCACGGGTGAGGCTTAGCCTTCTCCAGGAGCCATGGACCCAGGGGGGCCTAGCTCTGCATAACCTTTAAAAGTATTACCAGGCGGGGCAGATGGTAGTAGCTCACCGTTGGCTGACTGCGGATGAGGGGGATGCTGCGGTGGTAACGGAGGCGGCGTTGATGGGGTCCTATGCCGCCCATTCATCTATGCCACACCCATGGCTCCTCGGCCCGAACTGACATGGCCTTTGGCAACGGGGAACTACTCCGAATGGTCGCCGGGGATGCTTATTTGCCTGGTGGGCTGTCGGACCATGTACCCCTATCAGTTTCCCTGTTACTCCCTAGCTCGGGGAGCTCTGGGTGCTGGAAGCTCTCGCCGAGCTGGCTAAGTGTGGAATCAGTCTCTGAACATGTACTGCCTGCAATGGGCCGCTACTGGGACGTGAACGAAGGTACGGCCACTCCTAATGTTGTATGGGATGCCTTCAAGGCGAATGTGAGGGGGGAATATGTATCGGCTATTAAGGCCTCTCGACTAGCATTTAATGCCACATTGGAGGGGCTGCAGAGGGAGGAGACTGCCTGTGCGGCGGCCTTCGCGGATTCTCCGGGGGAGACATCTCTGGAGGCGCTGCGTGTGGCACGACGGGCCCTCAATTTACACCACGTGGAGATGACTAAATGCTCCCTGTGGGGAATCCGGGAATCTCTCTTTGAAAGGGGGGACAAGAATGGCAGACTCTTGGCCCACCTGGTGGCGGACCAGAGGAATCTCGCAACTATACCATGTATCCTGGATGAGCGGGGTGATAGGGTTACTGAACCTCGGATCATCCTCCAGGTGTTCAACCGGTACTACCAGCAGCTGTACCTAAAAATTCCGCTCTATGATTCGGGTCGCCAGGATGGGCTCTTGGGGGAATTATCCTTGCCGACCTTGGGTGCTGCTGATAGACGGGCTCTAGACGCGGATGTGACAACTCCCGCGGTACTGGCGGCGATTGCCTCATTCCCTAATGGGAAATTGCCAGGTCCGGATGGCGTGCCCGGGGAATGGTATAAAATGTAAGGAGGAATGTTGTAATGTATTTGCATGCAAAAATTGAATAAACCAGAATTTTTCACAAAAAAAAAGATATAATATTATAATTTTATTTATCTATTTCATTATATAGTGCTGTATCCCATATCTACTTCTAAATAAATATTGCTAAAGTGCATTATATCACTTACGTGTCCTCTCTTAGTGTCTGTGTATTGTACATGGCAATTAATCATGTTTATCCAAATCCTCTTTATTTATCTCTTAACAAATCCCCCCATTCTTTCGTGTTCCCTATACATCTAATCCCCTACCCTTTACTCCCTCCTCCCCTTCCCTCCCCTTCCCTCCCTATACCCTATCTGTGCCCGTCCTTATACCTCTCTATGAGTCCTACCCTACTCCACCTCTCCTATTCTAGATTTATACCTATCTAGCCCACCTGGGACATATCAATAAGTTACCTCTCTCAACCCTATTACTAATAACATGTACATCTCTACCCCCCAAGGCTCTACTATTTGCAAGTTTTACTTTAATATTGTCTTCTTTTCTATGGCATCTCTTCCTATTCTTGCTCCCTTTTATGTTTTCCCTTTCCATATGGTTGACTAATATTCCTTATTCGTTAATCGTTCCCTTTTTTAATTTGCAAAAGGGCAGTATACCTCTGATGCTTTGAATTCTTGCCACTTTCCCCATATTTTAGGAAATAACGCATATTTATCTTGCTTCATCATCACTAGCTCAACCATCAACCTGGTTGAATCCAGTTTGACAAACCATTCCGAGATAGAGGGGATTTCAGCTGTTCCCCAATATCTCGGGATCAATCATTTAACTGCGTTCAGCATATGGGGTAGTAGAGATCTCTTGTACCCCCTAGCCGAGTCTGCTGTGAGGTGAAATAAACATGTCCAGGGGATCCATGGGTAGCTGTATATCGCATATTTGCCTAATAGTATCTCTCACCATTTCCCAATATGGTCTAATCTTAGGGCACTCCCACCAGATGTGTGCATGGGTTCCAACCTCTCCACGCAACCGCCAACAGAGCGGATCATTTGTGTTATGTATCCTGTATAATTTCTGTGGGACGTTGTACAACCGTGATATCAGTTTGTAATTTGTCTCGAGTGTATTAACATCGATTGATGTAGACGTGACTAGTCGTAACATTTTCCTTTCCTCCTTTTGTGTGAGCTTACGGTTGAATTCCTTTTCCCATTTATCCAAATATGTAGGTGTTGAGCTGTTTTCCTTTGTGTTAATAATTTTATAAAAAAGTGAAAGGCAGTGCTTTGGTGCCTGTGCGGCTCCTAAGATAGTTTCTAACTCCGTTAAGTCATTACCTATTCTCAAGGGTTTAGGTAAAGTTTGAATGAAATGCTGAGATTGCTGATGTCTCCACCAATCTAGTGGGTATGTTCCCCACTTCTCTCTTAGTTCTGAAAGAGAACATGTTACATTGCCTGTCAAGATGTCTTTTACTTTTAAATTAGGAGACCTACACCACTTTAAAAAGGCGGGATCTTCTCTTCCCGGAGGGAAGTATTCATTCCCTATTAATGGTATTAAGATCGAATTGTACGACCACCCAAATCTCCGGTGTAGCCGGTCCCAGGTCTTTATGGTTGAAATCGTGAGTGGTAGCGTGTTTGGGGACAAACATCTTTTCGATGGTGGAATCCAAATTTTTCCCGATAAGGTTTCACTAGATAGTGTCTCCAACAACGCCCAGCTTTTCTGTCCTATCCCGAATGTCCAGTCAGCTATTCTAACTAGTTGGGCCGCCAGATGGTAAATCCTGAAGTTTGGGAGGGCTAAACCTCCCTCCTGTCTCACCCTACTCAAGGTCTTCCCTGATAATCCTAGGTCTTCTATTTTGCCATACGTATTTAGATATAACCTTCTGTAAAATTTGAAAGAAGATCCTAGGTATCTCAGTGGGTATCATCTGGAATATAAACCATATTTTTGGGAGGATCATCATCTTAATCGCGTTTAATTCTCCCCACCCATGACAGCTTCCGCAAGGAGAAGGATGCTAAATTTGATTTAAATATATTTAACATCGGGACATAATTTTGTTGATGTAGCGCCTTAGTTCTAGATGTTAAATTAATTCCCAGATATTTAAGCGTCTTTTTTTCCATCTAAAGGGGAAATAAGGGGTCATTGCTTGTCTTTCCTTTTCTGGAACAGTTATTTTTAAAATCTAGGTTGATTTTAAAGTTTGAAAGCTCTCCGTATACCTGTAATTCCCTTTGTACCTGGGGCAGCGTTATTCTGGGGTATTTTATGTATAGTAAGATGTCGTCTGCATATGCTGCGATTTAACTTCCCCCGCTTGTGCCTCCTATTCCCTGGATGTTTTGATTCAGACGAATCGTAGCTAGGAGGGGTTCAAGAGCAAGAGCGAACAATAGCGGGGAGAGAGGACATCCGTGGCGTATTCCATTATATAATGTAAATTCCCGTGACAGGGTGCCATTTATTCTCACTTTTGCTTTCGGATTAGCATACAGGGCAGATATCCAATAATCATCCTTTTCCCAACCCCCAGTATTTTCAGTGTATTAAACATGAAGCTCCAGTCTACTCTTTTAAAGGCCTTTTCGGCATCAATTGACAGCAGTAAGACTGGCAGCCCCTGTCTTTTTGCCACCTGTATTAGTGATATGGTCTTAAGGGCTTTATCTCTCGCTTCTCTTACTGGTATAAATCCCACTTGGTCTAGATGTACCCAAGCTGGGATAAAGGGGCGTAATCTGTATGCTAATATTTTTGCATAAATCTTTGTATCTACATTCATGAGGGAAATTGGGCGGTAACTTGCACATAGGCTAGGATCCTTTCCTGCCTTTTCGATAACTGTTATATGTGCCATCAGTGCCTCAGGATACATTTTGGAGTTTTCTCCTATTGAATTTACATATTGGCAGAATTGTTGGTTTAAAATGTCCTGGAACCTTTTATAATACAACAAAGTGAATCCATCCGGGCCAGGGCTTCCACCTGTCTGGGTTGAAGCAACTGCCCTTTTGAATTCCTCTGGAGAAATATCTGTTTCCAGAGCATTTAACATGTCTACTGATGTTATTGGGAGTCTTGCCTGTTTCAGGTATGTTTTTA